CCTTCCTTCCTTCCCTCTCTTTTCTTTCCTCTTTTCTTTTCTTTTCTTTTCTTTTCTTTTCTTTTCTTTTCTTTTCTTTTCTTTTCTTCTTTAACTGTTTAAGTAATGTCTACACCAGACATGGGGGCTCGGACTCACAACCCGGAGATCAGGAGTCGCATGTTCTAGGGACTGAGCCAGCCAGGCGCCCCTAGTAGTGTTGACTTTCAAAACAGAACTGCCCCGTTATTTTAGCAGTGAACATGGGTTTATTTAGGAATAGAGGATTGCAGTCCAACCTAAGCAAACCACAGCAAAACCGTGGTCAAGTCCCCTAATAAATGAGAGGAACAGTCTTTTACTAAAAAGGTGGAGGAGGAGTTGGGAATGCTGTTGTAAACAAAAACCACTCTGGAGTAAACTGGGAGCTGGAGCGGTGGCTTCGCGGGGCCGTTGCTGGGGTGGGAGGAAACCTTCAGGTGTAGTGAAGTAGCAGCCACCTGCCAGGCGAGGCTTCCCCTGGTGGGTCGGCCGTTGACGGGGAGCGCGGGGCGTCGGAGCGCCCCCTGCCGGCCTCCCCCTCCCTGGTAAGCAAGGCTCCTTCGATTCGTTTTCAGATGAGCCAGTGTAGAAGCACGGCTGGCCTTCTCGCCCTTAAAAGGGCTTCCTCTCTACTAAACGGGTTGCTTTTGTGCCTGTGTTAATGTTTACGGAGTATTTGTCTTTTCCCAGGCTAAGGTTAAAACCCTTAACCTACTGGAAGGTACCATTTTTGAAACAAATGGTATACAGTGTCTGTTACAGAGGGAAATTTTGTTTTATCGTAAAATCGATTATCTGCAATGTAAACAATCAGGTCAAGTTACTGTGCTTTGGGGGTTTCATTCTGCTTTTTACAGCTTAGAACAAGAATGAGATATTGGTCAACTTGTGAAAGTATCCAAGTAATAAAATATGACATTTTATTAAAAACTTTTTTTTTTTTAATATTTACTAATTTTTGACAGAGAGAGAGAGACAGAGCATGGGCGGGGAGGGGCAGAGAGAGAGGGAGACACAGAATCCAAAGCAGGCTCCAGGCTCCGAGCTGTCAGTGCAGAGCCCGACACGGGGCTTGAACTCACAAACCACGAGATCATGACCTGAGCCGAAGTTGGATGCTCAACCGACTGAGCTGCCCAGGCGCCCCTAAAATACTACATTTTAAAAGGCATCTTTTAGTAATTCCATGGGTCAAACCCAGTTCCTCCTGCCTTCTGCTTCTGCTGTGGATAAGTCAAAGGGCTGTAAAAATTAAATTATGTTTATTCTGTGGTTTTTGTGTCCTGTGTATTTTTTTTTTAAAGTTCATTTTATTTATTTATTTATTTATTTATTTTAATTATTTTTTTTTCCCAACGTTTATTTATTTTTGGGACAGAGAGAGACAGAGCATGAACGGGGGAGGGGCAGAGAGAGAGGGAGACACAGAATCAGAAACAGGCTCCAGGCTTTGAGCCATCAGCCCAGAGCCCGACGCGGGGCTCGAACTCACGGACCGCGAGATCGTGACCTGGCTGAAGTCGGACGCTTAACCGACTGCGCCACCCAGGCGCCCCGCATTTTATTTATTTTGAGAGAGAGGGAGAGAGAGAATCCCAAGCAGGCTCCACACGCCCATCAGCACAGAGCCCGATGTGGGGCCCGAACCCGCAAACCGTGAGATCATGACCTGAGCCGAAATCAGGAGCTGGAGCCTAACCGACTGAGCCCCCAGTGCCCGTGTCCTGCGTATTCTTACGTACTGTCTTTGTAGTAACCATTCTTTTTTTTTTTTTTTTTCAACGTTTATTTATTTTTGGGACAGGGAGAGACAGAGCATGAACGGGCGAGAGGCAGAGAGAGAGGGAGACACAGAATCGGAAACAGGCTCCAGGCTCCGAGCCATCAGCCCAGAGCCCGACGCGGGGCTTGAACTCACGGACCGCGAGATTGTGACCTGGCTGAAGCCGGCCGCTTAACCGACTGCGCCACCCAGGCGCCCCATAACCATTCTTGATCATCGGGAACCGACGGACCATTTTTCTTGTCTGCTGTCAGCGACACAGCAGAGTGATACAAAGCTCTGACACACACCATTTGAAGTAGATCGGTGCTGTGCACGTCCAGGGGTGGACTGGATAACTTGGGGAGTCAGCTGTGCAGAAATTAATGTATCGATGACTAGTACCTGAAGATATTCTGGAGTTGGGGGCGCCTGGACGGCTCAGCCGTTACGCATCTGACTTCGGCTCAGGTCATGATCTCACGGTTCGTGAGTTGGGAGTTCCGCATCTGGTGAGCTCGGGCCCCGCTTTGGGTGAGCCCCACTTCTTTCTCTTTCTCCCCCTTCTGGGATTCTCTCTCTCTCTCTGCCCTTCACTCCCTTGTGCCCTTTCTTCCTCTCTCTCTCTCTGTCTCTCTGTCTCTCCCTCTCTCTCAAAAAAAGGTATTCTGGAGTTTGTTGTTTAGTAGTTGTGATGAAATGTGCATTCTATCGCAGTATAGGGCCAAGGGTACTAAATTCGTTTCCGATAGTTTGAAGTAGGAGTGCAGACTAATTCTGCCTAGAGTCCTAGGGGAGGGCTTCATGACCAACGTGTTGTTAGAATTGGGCCTTGAAGAATAAATAGGATTGTGATAAAATGGTGAAGGAACTTTCTAGGTGGAGGAAGCCATCAGGAGCAAGGATGCAGGGATGTGAACCATCAGGTGTCTTTTGGAGAAGCAGATACTCTTATTCGTTGGTTTGGGATGTAGATTAAACAACAACAGGGAATGAGGGGCGCCTGGGTTGCTCAGTTGGTTAAGCACCGACTTCTGCTCAGGTCGTGATCTTGCAGTTTGTGAGTTTGAGCCCCGCACCCGGCTCCATGCTGAGAGTGCAGATCCTGCTTGGGATTCTCACTCTCCTCTCTCTTTGCCCCTCCCCATATCATGCCTTCTCTCTCTCTCTCTTTCTCTCTCAATAAACTTTAAAAATAAACAGGGAATAGGGACAGAGAAGAAGAGACACCCAGGGCCTCATGATGGAAGGCCTCGCATCCCAGGGCGGTGAACCCGGGTTATATTTGCAGCCCTTCAGAACAGGAGTCATTTCTGCCCAGGGACACGACGGACCAGAGATGTGCTGTAGAGAGATCAGCCAGACTGATCTCTGGAGAGATCAGAGGGCTGGCGCTGGAGGAATAGGATGGGGGGTGGGGGGATGGTTGGTGCCCTTGGACAGGCTTGGCCACTTTACCTGGGCTCCTGGCAGTGGGACTGGAACAGTGACGTAGAACCCACAGGAAGGACTGCTGGGGGGAAGGGAGCAGGAGTTTAACACAACTGCGGCCTCTTCGGCTGGTACAGAGAAGATGGGGAAGCCCTTAAGAGAAACAGGGAGGGCGGGGAAGGAAGGTTAGGTTGTGATTCACAAAGGACTCGCTGATACATTTGGAATGTGATCATTTTGGAGATCCAGAAGGAGATCCATGTTTCCTTTCATTAATGTGACCTCTTTTTTGTTGCCGTTGAAACTCTTATAGCTTGATGCTGACAAATACGAGAATGATCCAGAGTTAGAAAAGATCCGAAAAGAGAGAAACTATTCCTGGATGGACATAATAACCATATGCAAGGATAAACTACCAGATTATGAAGAAAAGGTAATGGAGTTCTACACTGCGTGAGGAGGAATCATTCTATTTACTACTAGTAAACACAAGCTCTTTTTTTTTTGCTTTTTTTTTTAATGTTTATTTA